AAGCCAAAAAAAAACAAAAAAAAATCCAAACAAGATTTACCAGGATGTTGCCAGGAATGGAGAGGTGGACTTATAACATGGCTGGACAGGCTTGGACTTTTCTCACTGGAGTGTAGAAGGTTGAGGGGTGACCTTATAGAGGTTTATAAAATCATGAGGGGCACAGATCAGGAGAATGGAGGTGTCTTGTCCCTAGGGTGGGTGATTTCAAGACTAACGGGCATATCTTTAAGGTGAGAGGACAAAGATTTAAAAAAGGCATGAGGAGCAATTTGTTTTTAAACACAGTAGTTCATAAGTGGAATCAACGTCCAGAGGAAGTGTTGGATGCGGGTACAGTTACAGCGTTTAAAAGACATTTGGATAAGCACATGAACAAGAAATGTTTGGGGAGATGTAGGCCAAGTGCAGGCAGGTGGACAAGTTAGTTTGGAGTTATGGCTGGCATGGACTGATTGGATCAAAGGCTCCCTCAAAACTGCACATAATATTCCAGGTGTGGCCTCACCAATGCCCTGTATAATTGCAGTAAGCCATCCTTGTTGCTATACTCTGTGCTGTATGACCCTATGTCAGTACAACTGCAGATGCTGGAAATCAGAAAAAAACTCAAACTCAAGCTGGAGAAAAGCCAAGCCAAGCTCTTGGGTTTATTTCTGGAGAGCAGGAACTGAGAGGTATAAATTTGTGCTAAACTCTGAGAGGACTATACTTGAAGCAGTGAGCTCAGTTCTGATCACCTGATTATGCAAAGGCTGGAGAGACACGAAAGAGAATGAAAACAAATGTTTACAAGGCTGGTGTCAGAAATCAGAGATTATATTTCTCACAGGCTGGGTCTTTTCTCTCTTGGGGAAAAAAGGAAGACTGAGGAATAACCTTATGGAGGTCTTTAAAGTCAAGAAAGGTGATGGCCTTGAATAATAATTCACCCCAGTTCCTGCGGTGCCCACCTGTCAAGAAAAGCTCCAAGTGTGCAAATGAATACAACATACTCCCTCTCCAAGGTCACATGGGCGCACATTTAAGCACAATAGAGAGGTAAGCAATTGGGGATTACAACCCCCTCTAAATCCAATGAGGGCACTACCTGCTTTCAATCAACTTTGAAGCTGTTGTGTTTTAACCTGAAAGGGACCTGCATTTCTGATACTGGCAACTGTGCCTTCAGCTGCTTTAGCCCTCAAGCCCCGGAATATCCTTTCGAAATCTTTTCACCTCTCTCTCCCTACGCAGAAACATAGAACACAGGAGCAGGAGCCGGCCATTCCACCTCTCCAGCCTGTCCCACAATTCATTACGGTCATGGCTGATCGATGAGTGCAATACCCTAATCCCAACCTCCTCCCATATCCCTTGTTCCCTTTATTCTCAAGAGCTATATCTACCTCCTTCTCAAAAACACAATGTTTTGGCTTTAGCCGTGTTCTGTGGTGGTGAATTCCACAGGCTCACCACTCTCTGGATGAAGAAATTTCGCCTCATGTCAGTCCTAAAACGTTCACCCCATAACCTTAAACTATGAGCCCCTAGTTCTGGACTCCCCAGTATCAGGAACATCCTCCCTGCATCTAAGCTGTCTGGTCCTGTTAAAATTCACCCTCGTTCTTCTAACCTCAAGTGAGCACAATCCTAACCAACTCAATTCCTCCTCGTAAGTCAGTCCTGCCATCCCAGGCATCAATTTGGTAAACCTTCACCGCACTCCCCCTGTAACAAGAACATCGTTCTTCAGATAAGACCAAAACTGTGCTCAATATTCCAGGGGTGGCCTTACCAATGCCCTGTTTAATTGCAGCAAGATATCCCTGTTCCTGTACTTGAATCCTCTTGCTATAAAGGCCAATATACAATTTGCCTTCTTTACTGCCTGCTGCACCTGCAACGCTTACTATCAACACATTGCAAATTCCCCTCTCGCAATTTACAGCCAAACAACAATCTGCCTTCCTATTTAAATGTTGCTGGAAACCTTCCCCCCAATTAAGATTTTAGTCATCTTTATGTGACTGTGTCAAAATCTGCTTTGTAATACTTGTGCAATGTTCCTTCAAACTTCTACTTCATGACTAGTTGCTTTCTCTTTACGCTCTCATGGAATGTGAGTGTTTGATAGCCATTCCTAATTACCTCTGGGTTGAGTGGTTTGCTAAGCCCTTTCAGAAGGTTGTTCAATTGCTATGAGTCCAGAGCCACATAAAGACCAGATAGACCAGGGTGAAAGATTTTCTTCCCAAAAGAATACTGATGAACCGGACTGGTTTTTTTATGACAATCAACGACAGTGTTATCGCACAATTCCTGAGATTAGCTTTCAATTCAAGATTTCCCTCACGGAGTTCAATTCCACCAGCTGCCAGTCACGCCACTTCCCCAGTGCGGGCCTCTAGACTCCTAGTTCCAACGATGTTGCTGCCACCATCTCTCCTTGTTTCTACTGCTACCGCCAATTAAAAATCGTCTGTATTTGCAGAGCCTAGGAATCTAGCCAGGTCACTATCAGGTTCGATACACTTTCTATTTGGGTCATGAAACTGCATCATGTTGCCAGGTAGGGTCTCATCTATTCGATTAGCCATTTAGATGAAATAAAGATAACTAAACAAATTTGGATTTTGATTTCAATCACAACTGTTCTCGGATCTAACCATCAGCAAGTTTTCTTTCGGCTTTGCATTCCAGGGAACAGTCTGCTTCCACGTTTAGTTTGGGCAGACAGCAATCAGAAGTAAACATCTAGTGGTTTCGCTGTTCCCTCACCTGCACGATTTCTCCTGGGCTCTCCTTTCTCCTGAGTTACAGAGAGAGACAAGGAACTGTCCTGCTGTCATTTTTCATCTCTTGCAAAATCCATTTTACTATGTATAGTTCAGGACATGGGAGAACAAGCAGACCAAGTGAGCCACAGGAAATAAGTGAGCACAGGAGCAAGTTCTCCCTTTAAATGTGTGCTGTTTTGAACCAGTTATGCATTAGTTGACATGCAATATTTTATAGTAATTAAGTACATACCCATCAAGGTACAATCTCTGCCTTCTCTCCATCACACCTCTCCTCTCCTGAAAACATCGCCCACAGCTTTATGATGATGCTAGAAATGTTGGCGAATGAATTCCCTCGCCATTCAGGACATGGCCCCCAACCCCAATGCCTTCACAGAATCATTACACAAAGCAGAAGGAGAACATTCAGTCCAACATGAGTGCACTGGCTCTCCTACTGAACAATTTCAATGCCATTCCTCCCATCACCTCTCTGTAACCATGCACGTTCTTCCTTTCCAGTTAACATTCTGATTACAATTCTGAATGCTTTAACTGAACCTCTAACAGACTTTTAGGCAGGGCACTCCACTTTAACCACTCACTGCATGAAGATTTGTGCGCTCTCATTCTCGATCGTTTCACAAGTGGGAACAGGTTCATCATTAGATGCACGCTCTCCCACCCATTGATTTATATTTAATATACAACTCTCATTCCAAATTCCACATTGGCTTTCAATAGCACAGCTACATCAAACTGCTTGCTCACAGTGCCAAGCTCCAGGATCCTCTGCTAGTCCCACGTTTATCCCAAGTACTTGGAATATACTTATAAAAAATAAATTCTTGTGTTAAAGGTGCAGGTTTGACAAACCTGCTGGTCTTTTTCTGTGTAAGCTCATCAGCCAATACAGCAATAGCAAAACAATACACTGCCTGTCACCTGGTATAATCCTCGTGTCATTAGCAAATGCAAAGGACAAATTTCTATCAATAGCACATAAGGGAGATGTACAGATAGTAGTTGAAGATGGAGGTGGTTACAGAGACAGAAAATACACTTCAGGCACGGCAAGTACCTGAGATGATGGAAATGGCTATTTCGCAATGCATGAACTGTTTCTCTGATTGACTAAAGAAACTGACTCTGGAAGTGCTGTTATCTGATCTTTGAACTATTTGAGGGACTTACTAAACACCTCTATCACACCAGCAATTCATGCCACTTGTAGCATATTCTTCCTTTCTACTTGGAGGGTATCGGACACAGTTCACCTTTATAACTAGCCACATAATCAACCCCATGTGGGCTGGTCTGTCTGGAATCAGACAGCAATAAACAGTTGTAGCTTGCTGGTGTGAACCCAGCTACGGGTGGCAACAGGAATTCACTGGAACACTGCAGAAACACACACATATCACGGGCGTGATTTTCAAACAATAGGACCTAGAACAAAATAGGGAACCTGCCGACTGCGCTGAAGACACAGCATTAGCATCCCACCCGCTGGATTCCCTAAAAAATTAGGGAGGGCGCTCGGGCAGATGGTGGATTTGCTGAATCTGACAAAGGAAGGATTTCTAAATATGTCTTACCATGGATTAGTGGGACTTAGATATTGGAGGCTACAGCAACTACAGGAATGGAGAGGAATCCTAACGTCACTTGTATGAGATTTAACTTACTGAAAGGACTCAAACCTAGTCTGGGAGAAATTCCCTTTCCCAAATATCCACTCAAACAACAGAAACAGCAGTCAACACAAGGAAATGTGGAGAAGTGTATAAACTAGAGAGGTCTAAAATGGATCAAAGCATCTTGGCAAAACACTAGTTAATGGTCATAAAACAATTTCTCATTCATGGTACCCATGACCAGGGGCAGGAAAACTTGATCTGTGGAACATCCTGGCCAGACCTTTCTCAAATGCCATGTCACATTCTGGGAGAGCCAGCAAAATCAATCAAGTCCTCGGGCCAAAAAAGAGAGAACAAAACTTTGCAAAATTTCTGATTCCTTCAGTAAATTAACACCTGTCCCAACATTGCCATCAATTCTGGGTACAAATTGTAATTACACATTCATTAATGTTCCACAGTTTGACACTGGATGGAAGGTAGTTGATTTGAACTAGAATTATAGTCATAACTTGTGATGGGGATATTGTTCACTACAAATAACCTAAATAAGCATTAGCCAAGGGCATTGTATTGACCATTACCTCTGGTCACTTACCTCTATCCTACGCTCCATGTAGTCTTTCTCTTTCTCAAAGTCAATCGTGTAGCCATTTGTTGACCAGACTAATGATAGGTCCAGCATGGGATCATGGGATGCATGGCACTCCATAGTGCCATTTTCCCCTACGGTAATATCAATGTTCGATGGCTCAAGGGTGATTTTAGTGGGTTCTGGAAGGACACAAAGAAGAAATATAAAATCAATACATTTCCAACATCTAAACATATTGAAAACTCTTCCAAGTAGCACTCGCCAAAGCAGAATGTGAAAGCACAAGCCATGGTCCAGTGCAGTCAACGCAGTTCAGGATAATTACAAGCAAGAAGGGACAATAATTACTTCAGGGTTCAGAAGTCATACTTAAACTCAAGGCCAATAGCTGTGCTGAAGGAGGGGCTTGACAATTATCCTCAGCATTTCTGTAATAACATTAAGACGGAAACTGTTGAACAGCATTTGCTGAAATAGACAAAGCCACAGAGATAAGGGAAAGACCAAACGAACATTCACATTCCAAAAGTATGCAGTCAGCAGCGGACTACTTCTGCAGTGCAGTTTGCAGGACTACAGATATCAACTTATACACAATAAGATCCCACAAACAGTTATTAAATAAATGACTGAACAAACATTTTTTTTAAAAAAAAGAGTTTACTGTTAACAATGAAACATTGTTCAGGATACTGGGAAAACTCCCTGCTCGTCTTCAAATCATTTTTAGTATCTATTAGGTAGGCTCATAAAACCTCAGTTGCATGTCTCACTAAGATGCTGAGGGAACATACACTAAACAAGGTGCAGCTTATGTTACTCAGAATTTCCTAGATTTGACTACCCCTTACAATGCAAAATAATTTATCTAAACACGCATACTTTGTGTCCAAATGGGAGAAAATAAACTAATTGCTTGCGTTCAGAGCTAGTTGTAAGGTTTACAAACAAACTCCTTACTCTTCATTGCATTTTTAAAAGTATTTATTGTAATCATTTACTCCAATAACTAATGTTGCTCCAAAAACTCTCTCTTGTTGCTCCCGAGTGAAGTCCTTACATTATAAAGACTGCGGTTGCACAAAATTGTTTTGTCGACACTAACTCCTATTTCACAGGGTCTTGATCAATGACTGGATGGTGTTGTTTACTTCTGTAGCTTTGCACGGCACCAGCAAGGGAGGATGAGATTTTGGAATTATTATATGGCAAAAGCCAAAGAAATTTAGTTGGTACTGGCAAAATATATTGTGATGACAATAACAAGAAATGGCATTTATTTCGCGCCGAGGAAACATGCCAAAGAAGCTTTGCAGGAGCACAATCAAAGATAAATTGATATCAAGCCAAGGAAAGCAATATGAGAATTCACGACATAAAGTCTGATGAGACAGACAGAATCTCAGCAGGATATTAAAGGGGAAAGGGAAGTTTAGGGAGAGAATTCCACAGCTAAGGATCAAATGGCTGCAGACTCAACTGTTAATGTAGGACAAAGGGAATTCGTGATGTGCACAACTGTCATGCATATTTGAGGAATGCAGAGTTCTCGGATGGTTGAGTAGCTGGAGGGCATCAGCGAGATAGGGAAATGTGGACAGAGTTCAACACCAAGGTGAGAATTTTAAAACCAAGCCTTTGGTGGACTAGATGGCAATATCAATCAGAGGGTGCAGCATGATGGATGAAATGGACATCATGCAAGTTAGGAGATTCCCATCAGGCAGTTGAGGGGTTTTTATCCAGTCATCAGTTTCTCATAATTGGTGCAAAGGCCAGGAAACACATCACGTTGCTAAACTCACAAATGGAAGCAGTGTAGCCAGTCCCCATTTTTATCTAAGTGCGGACAATTAGTTGTGGTTCTGGAGAGAAAGGGCAGAAGAATGTAGGGGGAAGGAGGGTTAGTGAAGGAGAAGGGATGGTGAGAAAAGAAACGACCTGAGGAATATGATGAAAAGGGCAGCACAGTGGCTCAGTGTTTAGCACTGCTGCCTCACAGCGCCAGGAACCTGGGTTTAATTCCACCCTCATGTGATTGTCTGTGTAGAGTTTGCACATTCTCCCTGTATCTGTGTGGGTTTCCTCCGGGTGCTCCGGTTTCCTCTCACAGTCCAAAGATGTACAAGTTACAGAGGGCTGGCCGTGCTACATTGCCCCTAGCATCCAGGATGTACAGGCTGGGTGGATTAGCCATGGGGAATGCAGGGTTACAGGGATAGGGTGGGGGGGTGAGGGGGAAAATGAGTCTGGATGGGATGAGTCGGTGTGGACTTGATGGGCCGAATGGCCTGCTTCCACACTCTAGGGATTCTATGATTTTCAGTTGGATAGCTGGAGCTGATCTATCAGGAAAGAGCAGGTTTGCCACTTGCGAAACCCTCCGAGAAGAAACAAAATGTACGAACGCTGTCAGCACTGATCTAAATACATGCCCGACTTCTTTCACTTTCTTATTTTTCAACATGTAAAGTTTTTCGAAAAGTCTTCACTAACCTGGGGCACGAATCTACCTAGCTCTTCAGCACAGATTATTCGCTGTGCTATCCCTAAACTTGGATTCCTCTGGGTTTATTGGACAATCTTGTGAAACAATTAGCTTTCTCGAAAGTCAGAATTAAATTGCACAGTGTGTCTCTTGGCAGTCAGTGCCTTGAGCGTTGCACTAATGAACCACAGGGGGAGCTATTCAAGCTGAAGAGAACAGCCCAGAGCCTAATCACTAACATCAATGGAATGAGATATGAAGAAAGGCTTGAAATGAGGGAGTCTCAACAGGGAGATGAGAGAGCTGGTGCATGTCAGAGGCTAAACAAACTAGTTCAGTTCAAATTAATTTCTTGCAGTAAACAAAATGGGATGTTCGCTTGGATAACTAGTAGGTCAGATGTGTCTCTTGCAGGTCCATGCAGTGAGCTGTAATGGGGCTTGTTTACCCAAGTGCCCACCTTCCTTCAATGGTAGTCTGTGCCTAGATGGCCTTGAAAGAGGATGACACGGTGCCCCACTGGCACACGTCTGGCATGGCATGACTGGTTGGCATCACAGGAGCTAGAGTCCATCAGCTCCCACTGAATCAACATTCTGATGTAAACTTAAGTTTCCTCTGAAATTTGTTTTCTTTTGGCACAGTTAGATAATGTCTCTGTTAGATTTTATTCGTATTCCGAACAGTATAACGGGGAGGAAAGTACCATAACAGCTATGCAAAATCCTAGTTGGGCCGTAACTGAGATATAGCAGGCAGATTGGACGATGATCTTTATATACCTGAAGGAGCATAGCACAGAATCACAAAAATGTTTGCAGGAATCCATGAGTTCAGTTCTGAGGAGAAATCACATAAGCTAAATTTGTATTCGTTGGGATATGAATCAATTTACTGTGGTGTTGAGAGCCTTGAAAGGGGTTGATAGGGTAAATATAAGGAAACCTTTTCTGCTGGTCGAGAAGCCTAAGACAGGGGATCATGACTGTAAATTTAAGTCAGGTTTTTTTTAAGCTCAGAAGTTGGTCTTTACTCTCATGGGCTCACGTCAAACCTTTCACTGGGCTGTGCTTATGATCTCCAGCAGCTTCAATCCAGTTTTGAACCAGTTTTATTTTGTGTTGGAGTTATGCATCAGAAAGTCATGGATTACCATCCTTTCATGAACTACTCTTGTGCCAATCTAGTCCATTTATTAAAAGCTAGCCTGAGGAGATAAGCTGAATGATGCAATATTACTTGGCACACTGTCAGATGTGAAAGATATTCAGGAACAATTTTTCTTTAATGAAAATAAGAGACCCAAAGTCTTCAGTTAAAAAAAAATCCAGCAGATTGAGTAAATTTAAAAGAACTCTGTGGCCAAGTTTTTGCCCCCTTACCTGTCACTACTAAAGTGCCACTGCTGTTAGCCTTTCCTCTGTTGTTCTCTGCAAAACAGGTATAGACTCCCTCATCAGCCTCAGACAGATCCCGGATCTCCAAAGTGCCATTGAACCAAATGGACATCCTACAATAAATGCAGCACAAGACAAATTACAGAGATAAGATGACAGAATTTATGACACAAAAACCAAAGGGTCCATACTAGTGTTTACACTCTCCTGAAGCCTCCTCCCAATCTTCTTTTCCTTTCCTATCCTTACCTGCTTATCTTTTCACTCATAAACACAGGAATGGGAGCAGGCCATTCTGCCTTTTGATCCTGTACCGCCATTCTGTGAGGTCACAACTGATCTGTGGCCTAACTTCACATACCTGCCTTTGGTCGATATTCCTTAATGTGTTTGATTCACAAAAACCTATCTATTTCTGGTTTAAAATTAAGAACTAATCTCACATCTGCTGCCGTTTGTGGAAGAGAGTTCCAAAATCTACCACCCTTTGTGTGTAGAAATGCTTACAACCATCTTTCCTGAACGAACTCACCCTCATTTTCAGAACCCCCGAGTTCTCGAATCCACAACCAGCAGAAATAGCTAATCTTTATCTACCCTGTCTTTTCCTCTTAATATCTTGAAGATTTTGATCAGGTCAACCACCAACCTTCTAAGTTTTAGAGAAAACAATCCCAACTTGTACAAGCTCTCCTTGTAGTTTAACTCCTGAAGTCCAAGTCTCATTCTTGTAAACTGACACTGTACTCCATCCAAGGCCAATACATCCTTTGTAAGGTGTGGTGCCCTGATCTGTTCACAGTACTTTAAGTGGGGTTTTGTATAACTGCAGTATAACTCATGCATCCTTGTACTTCACTCCTCTAGATATAAAGACCAGCATTCCATTAGCTTTCCTGATTATTTTCTTTGTGACATTTTCAAGATCTACACGCTGAACCTCCAAGTCTCTTCGGACATCCACTGTATTTAAGTTCATATCATCTAGGAAGCATCCCGATCTACCGTTTCCAAAAGGGATGACTCCAACCTCACTTACACTGAATGCCACCTCCCACAGTTTTGCACATTCATTCCATCAATCAACATCCCTTTGTAATTTTATGCCATCTCCTACACTGTCTACAATGCTGTCCAACTTTGCGTCATCAGCAAGTTTGGATATCTGACTTTCTGTGCCATTATCCAGGCTGTAAATAAATTACGGGAATAACTGAAGACCCCCTAACACAGATCCACGTGGGACACCTCTGGTCACATTCTGTCAATTTGAGTAGCTGCCTATTATCCCTACTTTCTGTTGTCTGCTACTCAACCGATTCCCCAGCCATGTCTGTAATTTGCCCTCAATTCCATGGGTTTCTAGCTCAGTGAACAGGTTCTTGTGTGGGGCTTTATCAAATGACTTCGGGAAGTCCATATAAACAACATCCTTAGCCATTCCCCTGTCACAATCTTAGTCGCCTCTTCAAAAACCACAATGGGGTTTATCAGGCATGACTGACCTGTCATGAATTCACGCTGACTCTCTCTGTTTGACTGAAAATTTTCAAGATGTTTCGTAATGCCATCCTTGATTATAGACATTAACAATTTCCCCGCCACAGATTTTAGGTTAACATGTCTGTAATTCGCTGGTTTCCCTCTTTTTCCCTTCTTATAAAGCAGACTGACATGAACTAAACAAGCTTCCCTCAACTACATGAACTGGGTGATAAAATTATGAAGCATCCTCCTTGAAGAACAAATCAAAAATTCCATTTCATTTTACCTTTAAGGCAAGTGCCATTTTTATACTATCCCTCACACACAATTAGCCCAGATGCTCTTTGTTGTGTCAGCAGCACGAAACCCTTGCGCTCTATGCTAACTTAAAGGGAAATATTACACAATAGACTGTTTTAACACACTGTTGAGCGGCAACGCGTCTCAGCAGAGGCTGGAAGATTGTACAGGCCACAATAAGTTGAAGTAAGCCTGCACCCCTCAAAGGGAAGGAGCACTCTGGTGAATACAGATGTTGGAAGTGGTTGGGACAAGGGAGTCTTCCTGCAAGAATAACACGGATTAATGGTGCAACAGAGGGGAGAGCAAATTCCAAGATTCACATTGTACTGGAGGCCTTGGTCCCTGACGCTGACAGAAACAAGAATATCCTTTTTTCCAAAATGTACTTGAGCAAGAAAATTGCTAGAACAGCATGGTCTTCAAGTGCCTTGAGATGTGGAGATAGACACAGAGGGATCCCGAATGCTTTTTCACACAAACCCCGAGAATGAGCCAGAATGGTCGATGTACGCAGGACAACTCCAGCAATCTGCATTAATTCTTGCAGCAATAAGCCACGAGCGTCATGACTCACTGGGTGAGTGCACGGGAAATCAAGCCCCAACATACCCAGAGTCGTCACAAATGTGAAAAGACTTGAGTCAAAGTTCCCAATCTACCTGACTGACAAATGTACATAAAAAGGAAACGCGTGCCAGGTTTTCGTATTTAACAAGAAAGTAATTGCTTACTATGAGCAACTTGCCATTAACCAATGACAATTAAGAAATACGATTTGCTAATTTATAATTCTATAAAAATACCCCCTTTCACATATGATGGACACACAAAGTCAGAAAAAACACGGATATTAAGGATGAAGAAAAGAAAAATCAGGGAATTACAGTTCAATAGCATCAGCCTTAACGACAGAATTCGATAAATTGCTTTCCTTCTCTTCCTTGCAATTCCTGGTGTAAAGATGGCAGCAGAATAGCAGCAGTAAGTTCAAGCTCCTGGTCCAGGGCTCTTCTGCCTCCGTCTGCTTCCTTCGTTTCGTTTTTCTTTTCTCTTTTATCTTTTGCTCTTTTTCTCCCCGTTTCTATTTCTTTTTGTTTTTCTTTGAAGGCCTTTTTCAGTGGGGGCAAGAACGGTCCTGGTCTCCTGAGCAAGTGTGGCAGTGGCAGGAGAGCGTGAGCCGGACGGTTGGAGGAGAGGGTGGGCCCTCCCGGTGCAGAGGGGAGAGTGGGCCCTGCTATTCAAGGTGGTGGCACCTGCACAGAAGGCCGGTCTGCTCCAGGCCGACTGCATTCTTTTTCTCTCTCTCCTTTTCATCTATTTTTTTTTTCTCCTTTTCCTCATCTTACTGATAGCGCAAGGAGGCCAAAATGATGTCAGCAATCGCTGGAGCGGGAACTCCTGGCTTCGTAGGCCCGATGCAAGGGTGCCTGGAATTGGTGCCGTGGCGTCAGTCACAGCGATGGTGGCGTGGGGACTGCTGTAGGCCCGGAGCGGAGACCTTGCAGAGACCTTGTGTAAGTCTCGGAGCTGTGTTTGGGACCCAGGCAAATGAAGATAAACTCTAAGTGCTTTCTTTTTATTCTTTTGTACCTCAAAATGGCACTGGATTGTGGCGACAGAACACTTTTCGCTGTATCTCTCGAGAGATACGTGACAACAAATCTTTCATTCAACTCCTTTGAGTTCTTTGCCTTTGACACAAAATCATGTCCATACCAATTGCTCTGTTTCAATCATTGGTTGAAAAGTTGGCATTTTGCTGTCCTTCAAAGCACTTTATTCCTTCCACAATGGGAATTTGCAGAGAAAGCACAAGTGGAAGACAGTTAACTGTCGCTGCAGAAAATAGATGGAAAGAGTTTTCAATGCTCTCTCTTTGGAGGTCTTGTGGATCTCTGCTACACTGCTCCCACACAAGTCATGGTCACCTGGAGCCAATCAACTGTTGTTGGCAGGCAATTATACCCTTTCGCTCACAGTCCATTGGCTTGCAGGTCAAAGCCTCTCTGTACACGGTTGACGTCACCGTTTTCTGCTCAGATCCGCTGTCAGTGAGCAGACCCATGAGGATCTTTGACCAGTTTGAACTGGCCTCAGGAGCCAAGGTAAATCGAGACAAGAGCAGGGCCATGCTCTTTGGGAACTGGGCCAGCTGATCCTCTATCCCCTTCACCGTCACGACAGATTACCTGAAGGTGTTGCGAATATGGTTCGGAGGGGCTGAGGTTCTACCTGTCCCTGGTGTTACAAAGAATAGGACTGGCCTCGGTGCCACGGAACGCTCCAAATCGTTGGACTGTCCTGTGTCACCTGTCCTTTGTGGAGAGATTTGCAAAGAGAAACAACTTTGATCACGAGTCCATCAGGAAGTGGTCAACACATAGCGTCCTCGAGATCCTGAGGGGGAAAAGAGAGGGTGGACCCTGTTGGGCTGTTTGTGAAGCAGATTGTCAAAGTCATTTAGCAGAATGCCTCATCGCCAGAACTTTCCAAAAAGCACCAAGACATCGCCTGGCCGGTGGTGAGAAGGGCATTACCTGCGAGATACTTCATGTACGCCCGGTCGGTCTGTGCCCCCACATGGTGCCCTTGAAGTGGCTGCGTGGGGGTAGAAACTAATACACAACTCCTTCTGGAATCTGAGATAACACAGTGCGATGCTGGAGGAACACAGCAGGTCAGGCAGCAACAGAAGAGCAGGAAAGTCGATGTTTAAGGTTTACACACTTCTACATCTCTTTCTGGAATCTGTCTTTGCAAAGCAACTCTGGAGAGAGATAGAGTGGTTTCTATCGAGGTGCATTCCAAGCAGCTCCATGGCGCGGGACTCTGTGCTCTACGGTCTACGCACACCAAAGACAAACATCACCTGTGCCTGGAGGACCATCATCTCAGTGAAAGACGCTCTTTGGTCTGCCCAAAACTTGTTGGTCTTCCAGAGCAAGGAGTTGTCCTCAACTGAGTGTGGCAGACATTCCAAGGTCCAGGACTACTCGCTAAGGGACACCCTAAAGCTTGGGGCAGCTGGCACCATGGCACAGTGGGGAAAGACCACTGTCGAAGGTCATTCTGAAGTTAAATGCAGTCATCGGACCCTCCCAGTGCCTCAAATGTATGTAATATAATCTTCTATGTATTAGAGATGCCATGGGTTTGTTTGCTGGATAGAGTCAAACTCCAGTGTTTGTTTCTTCAACGTTGCATAGAACCCCTACAGTGTGGAAGCAGGCCATTCAGCCCATTGAGTCCACACTACCCCTTTAAACAGCTTCCCAACCAGACCCATTCCCCTGCCCTATCCCTGTAACCTTGCATTTCCCACCTAGCCTGCACACTACAGGTAATTTAGCAGGGCCTAACCTGCACATCTTTGGCCAGTCGGAGGAAACTGGAGCACCTGGAGGAAACCCATGCAGACACGAGGAGAACGGGTCAACTCCACAGAGACAGTTATCCAAGGCTGGAATCGAACCTGCGTCCCCGGTACTGCAAGGCAGCAGTGCTAACCACTGAGGCACCGTGCCATGCCTCGAATAAATGCTGTCTTGATGTCAAGGTCAGTCACTGTCGTATCACCTGGTTGGCTAATTCTTGTTTATATTTGAACCAAGGCTGCAATGAGGTCAAGGACTGGGTAACCATGGAAAAACCCAAATCGAGCAATTGTTCACATTGTCGGGGAGATGACAGTGTTGGGGTTGGAATGGAACACCAAGTATTCAGTGTTATTGGCAGAATGTTGTTAGCACCTCTAGCCTTTGCAGTATTCAGCTCTCCCTTGATACTCTTGAGTGAATCAAATTGGTGGAAGACTGTCATCTGTGATGCTGGGACCTCAAGAAGAGGAAAACTCGGATCTGGCTGAAGATTGCGGCAAATGCACGAATACTCTGGGGAATAATGGGGATATTTGTTAAGCCTCCTCTCGAGTCAGTTGTTGAACTGTCCACCACCATGGGTGACAGAATGGGGCCAGACGACAGAGTTGCGATCTGATCCACTGTTTGTGGGATCACCTCGCTCAGTCTATCACTTGCTGCTTTCACTGCTTGGCACGCAAGTATTCCAGTGTCGTGCCTTCACCAGTTGGCACCTCAGCTTTAGTTGTGCGTGGTGCTGGCTACTGGCGCACACTTCTGCACTCTTTATCAAACCTGGTTAATCTTCCAGCTCGATGCCAGGTACAGTGAAAGGGATACACTAAGTCCTAAAGGTACAAATTGTGGTTGAATTCTAATCTTCTGCTGATGGTGGCCCACAGCACTTCCTGAATGCCCTGTTTTGAGGTGCTAGATCTGTTCTGAATCTCACTCACTTATCATGACAATCCTGATGGACAGTGTCACCTACCGATATTGTCCATGGGCAAGTGCTCCTGGAACAGATAGACGGGTGAAGACAAGATCAAATAGGTTTTCCCCTCTTGTTGGTTCTATCATCAACTAAAGTGGCACCAATATAATCATCGATGTAGTGGAGAAAGAGGTTGGCGAAGGGGCTTGGCTACAAGGAGAACAATGAACATTCAACAAGAAGACAGGCATAAATAAGGCTTCTGCAAGTGCCCATGTTATCTTTCTATTGTCCAGAAGTGAGGCAAATGAGAAATTGTTCGATGAGACAATAAGTTCACTTGCGCAGATGACAATGGCGGTGGTTGGAGACTATTTGAGCTTCTGTTCAAGGAAGGAACAGAAAGCTCTAACATTGTGGTGATGGGGCCAGGGATGTGGAGGGATTAGGAGTCCAGACAGAAGAGGAGGCAGTTGTGAAGTACGAACTAAAGATGTCCTGATTTTCTTTGCTGAATGGCTTCATAATTTGATAATCATTGAAAGTTGATGTAGCTGAATCGGCAACAATCACAAGCCCTTCACTGACAGGAATATTAATGTTAGAGCCACAGTGACGTGGGGGATCCAGGGTGACTGTAAGATGTCACATTAAGTTGAGGATAAGTCAGTACTGTAGCAAGAAATAATTGCCATGATTCATTGGGGCTGGCCAAAGTTCAATCAATATTTGTTTTCCGACAGAATTGCACACATTATTTGTATGAAAATAAACATTATTTCCTAGTAAATGAATGAAAGAGTGCAGGAATTTCCAAACAGTAAGCTGGGTTAGGGCTATGATTACAACTTGTACATAACTGCACAGTGTGAAAAATTAGCACCTTTCCCAGCAGCTGCCAGCAAGCTACTGTAAGGCCTGGTGCCATGTAAGTGATAGCAAATGTTGTACTCCCATCAACTGACAAAGCCGTCAAGACAGAAAATGGAGGACGATAAACAGAGCAACATTTAAAAGCTGCACTTGTGAACTCAGTACATAGTCTACTGGGGTTTCACACTCCAGAAGCCCTCTTCCCCTCCAATATTCCTGGGCTATGGAACCTTCTTGTTTTTGTTCAGATCCCTCCCTCTCTGCTTTACTTCTGTAACCCCTTCTAGGCCCTTCTTTTATTTACAAACTTGCCTTCTCATCTCGTTTTGTCTTGCAATGTGGTCTCTCCATCACTTCCAGCTTCCACCCTAACTCAGCCCTCTCCAGTTGGAACCATCCATTTTCTTCCACAGCTTTGAATATAATGACAGGTCATCCACCTGAAACATTTGCTGTTTCTCTCCCCACAAATGCTGCCAAGCCTGATGAATTTATCTGGCGTTTTTGACTGCTTGATGGTGTTCTATCACTTTCGCTAATTCGCATTCCAACAGGTTCCTTTCAGAGAGCTCACTCCCCTGCCATCTTCTCCATTTGGTTCTTTGGCCTGACTGAAATGTGCTACAGACATTACCCAACATCAATCTACCTGTGTCCAGCTTCCGAAAGAAAAAAAAATCGAAGCACAGCTTGATGGAATTCAACTTCCTTCACCTCTCATTCCATTTGCACCTACCCACTTTGCTTAGTGTTGGAATGGATCCTCGTCTTCAACAGGCTGAGATCTTCTATCATTGAAGGTGAACAGAATTCCTGCCCTGATCCTTGAATTGGTTACTTTTGGCATAGAGGTTTGGATGGGAGCAGTGAATTGGATGCTTTATGAAAAATTCCATTTGCCGCTCAACACTTCTGAAGAAAATGGAATCGGATATCAGCTGGGAATACAATAAGTGGCACTTTTGACTCTATCCTTTTTGCTCCACTGCCCATGTCAAACTTTGAGCTTCCTATCTTTTCATATGCTTCATGATTTCAGCACTTGTCAGTTCTCATTCAAAACAACCACTGGCTGAAGTGCGGCCCCAAATGGACTGAAAAAAAACTTGACGCAATGCGAAGCAAACATCTGATAGGTACCTTGCCCACTACCCTCACAACTATCCCAGGATGCACTGCAGTAAGTCACTATCGCTCCTTCGGCAGGACCTTCCAAACGCATGAGCTCTACCATCTAGAAGGACAAGGGCAACAGATCTGTGGGAACATCACTCCCTCCAGGTTCCCCTCCGAGCCACTCACCATCCTGACTGGGAAATATCTATCATCGTTCCTTCACTGTCGCTGGGTCAAAATCCTGGAACTCCTGTGGGAAAATGACAATGGACTGCAGTGGTTCAAGAAGGCAGCTCACCACCACTTTTTCTGGGGCAATTAGCAACGGGTAATAATTCCTGGCCCTGGTAGACACATCAATGAATGAACCGAAAACAAAATGCACGACTGCTCGAATTGAGGACTTTGCAAACTATTGAGCTCCGCTAAATTGCAGGTTAAAATTACTGACCCAAATCTTCCAGTCTCCAAAGCGTCAGAACCCCATGACCTTCCTGACTCAAGACATGTGTGGGAACTGCTCAGAAAGTTTAAACTTCTGATGGGCCGATCCCCTCTGCCTGGACCCAGCTTAGGCTGAAGGCTTGGGTCTTGCCTGAATACTTACTCAGACATATCGTGTGGCCTAACAGTTCGGTAACCCAGCTTAGTATTGACTTTCCCAAATACTAACCCCTGACCATCTGGCTACATCCCCGATCAACCAACTACCCACCTCACCCACCATCTCATTCACTCAGTCACCTCCTACCCGCTAACCCACCATAACATAATGTGCGTCATTTAAATATATATATTAAGAACATTTATTTATGAGTTTAAACTATTGAATTTGAACTAGTGGCATGTTCTGTGTGTTGGAAGGGGTTCAATGATTAACCTGTCAGTATTTCTGTGGCCATGGTGTTTCTTTTAAAGCACAGTATAAAATAAAGCCTTCCTGGAGAGTATAGAGTTTCTAATTTAGATTGGGAGAATTTTAACCTGCATCGGAGTCAGTGTGTCTGCCATGGCGTGCCGAGATGTCACATGGCATATCATTCATCGCACTTGTGTGTGGATTCATTTCACTGACCTGGAATTATTCTTGATGAGCTCGGTGCCTTTACTCCATGTGAAGGTCGGCTTGGGAGCAGCTCTGGGCTTGCAATCCATCAGCACTTTACCTCCCCTGGCCCCCAGCAGTTTCCTCTTCACTGGGTTCAGCCTGAAGTCTGGGGCCAAAACTGAAGGAAACCACAACAACAGGGTCAGAAAACCAGGAACTGAACGGAAGCACTCGCTGTGCAAACTCTCTCTTTTCCCTTCCTCCAAACCCATTTGGGTTTGCTTCTAAAGGGTGCTTGGGTGGGCAACATTAACTGGGGAATACTCCCCTGCTTCGTCAATCAAACATTAGCAACAGTACATTCATTCAGTTTTTCCAGATCTGGTCATTCCCTAAAAATGACATCATTCCCCATTTGCAACTCCATTTTACTCACCTTAGCTCCATGTCCCTTGGTAGCTTTACATGGAAACTAACAGCTCAGAACAGGCCCATTCATTATTCCCCATTCTTCTCATAGTTATATTAAATCTGTTCTTCTGGTTACCAACCCCCTGCCAGTGGAGACAGTTTCTCTCTATTTACTCCATGTAAACATGTCATCATTTTTGAATGCCATGGTTAAATCTCTCCTGAAGTTTCAACTTCCGAAAAAATTTCGCACAACTGAAGTTTTCTATCCCATCTGACTACTGTTCTGCTTTAGCATCTCTGCACCTTCTCCAAAGCCCTGGTCTCCTTCCTAAGCTACGGTGCTGAGAACTGAACGGTATTTCTCCATTTGAGGCCGGGCCATCGAATCAGCGGGGTTTGGCATGACCCTGCAAGAATAACAATTCGTACCGAACTCAGAGGGCAGCGCTGCGTTCAGAATAATACCAACCGAGAACTTTCAACTCCGCGTTGGAATACAGGGATCCGTATTTGTTCTCTGTGACACACTGGTACATTCCGGAATCTTGCAGAGTCAGTCGGGAAATACGCAGCTCCCCTCGAGCCACTCGGAACCGGGCCTGCACACAGTTGAAATGGGCAGATCTGAAAAAGGGAACTCAGTAACATTTGATTTAAAAGTTGGCAGAACTTGTGATTACTCCCAGCAACACACCGAGGAGCTTGTTGCTTCCGCAGCAGGACCTGGAGGAAGGAAGAGGTAAACGTCGACACTTGCGTAAATCGTTGACTATGCAGTGGGCGTATTTTCACAGGCTAAGTAAGGAGGAAAGGACTTCCCCACAATGGAAGCAGAGGTCAAGAACCAAAAACGTGCCATTTCTGTTCAATCGCAAACAGGGCAAGGGCTGTGCATTTCTCCTCTTTCGACCGCGCGCACAAGTGGGCACACAACAGCAACAAACTTTGAAAACCCCCAGAGAGAATGCAAACACAACTTCATACCCCATAGACGACCTCTCCATTATGAAGCCATTTGTAAGTGGGTTGAGGCTTGCCTCCTGCTTCACACTGCCAGGTGAAGTCACTCCCGATGTCTTGCATGGTGTCATTGATCGACCGAATCCAGAATGGATGAGCTGGAAAAGGAGCAACAAGTTAGACGAGCTGCCAGTGGCATTGTATAAGCTCATTTTCACAAAAATATTTCAAACTGAAGGGCGAAAGAAAAGTGAAACCATGCACGACGCATCAATTTACAAATTTATTTTCCGCCTCAGCCATTTATAATTTAAGTGGTTTCAGTGTTTTGTTTTCGCTTCTTGACCCACATCCAGCTCCTTTTGCTTCCTGCCATTCTCGTTTTTATCATCTCATCTCGGCACTCTCCATTCATTCACGGAGACCCTACTTCAGTCCCTCGCCCTGTCGCCTGAGTTTTCACTAATGCATACACTGTTAAATCTCCCAAGGCGATCAACCTGTGGTGCTGCATTTCTCTGACCAAGGACGATGTCTGACCTGTAGCACTTGCTGTTTATATTCCAGAAATTGAGTATCTGCTTTATTTGGCTTTTGTGAGGGCGTGACGATGTTGTGGCTTTAACAGGCTATTTTGTCCTTTTCTTTGAAGAGAGGTTTAAGGCAGAGGTATTGAGCAGTCTATCGGTACCACTAGGGTAAACAGCTTGTGAAGCCTTGCGGGCTTTTATTTTTAAAAGGTTGGAACAATAGAAGCAGCCTGGCTGGGTGTGATCAGCTCTCACAGACGAGCATTTTTAGTTTTATTTTAGCTTTTTGATTCAGTAGAAGCTGCTGGATTCTTTAAGAAGTAGAAGCTACTTTTCCTCCCTGTCTCGGTTACATGTAGAAGCCAGAGTTTCTCTTCCTACTGTGGGGATTGCATGTGAGACAATCTGTTTTCTGAATTTGCCTTTTTGCCAAGGTGTGTGCTTATGGGATGTTACCATATTGGAACAGTTAATTAGTTATAGTTACTATATCTATTATTCTGTTAAGCTTTCCAACAGAGTCAAACCATTCTAAATTCTTCTTTCCCTTGTTGTATTTTAACTGCAGTGTCAGGATAAATTGTGTTTTGTTCATCATCAAGTAGTTTGACCAGTCGAGTGACATCTGGAACACAGCATTTAAAATAAGAAAAAGTTTGGGTCTAGGTTACCTTCTTAAAATATTTTGGTCGAGTCTAGGCCATAACTAAGGGCAACTGCAGGATGTTGAGCAAAACAACCATCCTCATTTCTACCCAATGTCTCTGATCTTCAAGACGTATCAATCAAACTTCACCTTTACTTTCCATTAACTCAGCCTAAGAGGAACAACGTTGGCCACAGAGAGAAATTCTGTGAACTGGCAGCACAGGCCTAAGACCACAAGAGGGGAGATTGTCAGACAGATACAGACTCAACACAGTGACTGGAGGATGCGTGGAAGACAGAGGTTAAAATTCAAGATGAGGCTGGAGAGATTTTCCGTCGGTAGAAGCAATGGATGCTGATGAGAGGGGCATTAATCATCAGTGTCCAAACGGAGGAAACAGTGGACAGCCAGGATAAACTATGGGAATGGGATTTCCCTCAAAATCCCAGTGGCTAATCAAGAGATCTCCTGAGAAAATTCCCAGCAATGTTCCAACCACTTTCTGATTAAATACTCGCTTGTACAGAAGGTGATCGCTCCTAAGAAGAGACAAAAAGTCAAAGATACACATGTAGGACTGAAATGCAAGAAGGTCAACTTTAGAAAGGAAACTAGGGGCTCTTGTGGCAACAGTGGTAGTGTATCTACCTCTGAGCCAGGAGGACCAGGTTCAAGACCCACATTTGTGAACAGGTTGGTGAGAAAACATCTAGAAAGGAAACTATAATCTATACAGCTTGAGAAGAGGACCCTTTGTGGTCAGAACAGAAATGAAACCGTTAATAGCACCTGCGGCATCTCTATGACACAGTCCAGCCAAAAACTGTTGCTTCCTTTCCAAGTTATTTTTTATCCTTCTTGCACCCCGGTCCTCTTCAGTCCAAGATAAAAAGCTCTGGTTCATGCTTGTCTTTGAAGCAATGTTACATAATAGATAAATAAAGAAATAAATGAGGAAATGGTTTTCACTGCTGGAAGGGTTGGCATGCAAGGGCCAGCGAAGTATCATAACTGGCAAATTGGGGAAAATGAGAATTTTTTAAGAACAAAATGCAATAATGCTCTAAAAGTCACTGGCTTGAAGGTAAATGGAAGGGAATGGGATAAATACTTGAAAAGGGACAAAATGATATTGTCAAACCTTGAGAAAATGCAAGGGAGTGGAGTGAATTGAACAGCACTTTCAAAAAGTTAGAATAGGCCCAATTGGCTGAATGGCCTCTTTCCAATGCTGTAAGAGGCTATGAACAATGCCTCAGCCTCCAGCATAAGACACATGCAAAATGCTGTAGTTTTGAATAGGGAGATATTAGAACACAGAGTCTTGAAACATAGCCCCCAGTGCTGGCATGTTTTAGAGACGTGGACAGACACAAAATACAGTTTTCTGCAAGACTGTAAAATTTCAAAAGTACACTTAATCACAAACACACATTTGAATTCACAATGCTCTTTAAGCGAAGGGTCCTATTACAGTCCAGAAATGTTCTGTCGCTTGCCAAGGATTAAATGTGAGAATACATTTGATCACTGCCTCTGCCTCACTTGATGCTTGTTAGAATTTCACACTCTAATCCCTTCACTGCTCTGCAGCTGTGAGGCAATTGATCTGCTATTAGGCAGAAGGCCACACTGACTCAATTAAAGCTCCTTGAGACAACTTACAGAACTCATCATGTTTCAAGAAGCGTGCGAGTGTTTGAAGAAGAACCAGAAGTTAACTTCACATTGGATCAGAGAGCTCTTGGTGCGATGCGAATGGAAATGGTGTGTCATGGAGTATGAAGATCTAATGAAGTTCACCACTTAATATTTAGCACAATATCAATGTAACTTGTGAGTGAAGTTTCTGGCTTTTCAAATTAAGGACAGTAGTTCTGAGGAAATGGGGCATGTTTGTACAGTCAGGGTGATTCAGCTTACAGTGTAGGCTAAAGAGCCTGCACACTGGCCCAACAACTGACCAAGGCTCACTGAAAAAGGCCTTATGCTTTACACCAGAAAGGAATGAACGGAAATGTGACTGAACCAATCAATGACACAGCCAGTTGGACAATAATGAGACAACTGTGGAAATCAGATGTTTCAGAGGGATATTTAATTTCGATTGAAGTGGAGGTGCAATGACGGTTTAAATTGTAACAGAGCTGCAGGATGAAGGACACAGGTTAAAGGTTGGAAAGAATGAAATTAGGCCAGCAGACAGAGACCGAGGGGCTGTCATGTATTGCGAGGAAGGGAAGTCAGACCGAGTGAAAGAATGAGGTCAGATGAGCTGAAGGGCTCCTAACAGCTGAACCTTTCACATGCTGACAGCACTGCCCAAGGGAAAGTTCCGCCTCTTGTTTCGAAGAACAAACTCAACATTACACAGAGTCTAGAGATAGAGAGGAATGCATCACAAATGCCATCAATGGTTCCATCTCTTGAGATTTTTGGTAATTGACACTAGGATGTCAAGTCAAGCAAGAGAAACAAATTCCTGTACTGTGTGTCCAGCCTGTGAGCAGCGCACGGACGTCCTCAAGAGAAAGGTCTGATCTACCACAGTGTTCACCTGTAGCCTTCAGAGCCACTCCCATCACACTGCCAGCTTGTGGACAGATGATAGAACTAACTGCACCTCATCACCACCATCAACAACAGGAGAATCATTCATATACAACAGGTGAGCTCAGTTGGGCACGGCAGAGGTTATTCGAAGCAAGGAGCTCAGTTAAACAATTGTCTTGGCAATTTCACAAAAGGTGCAGAAGAGCTGAAGAGGACTTTTGGTCATCCACAGTCCAAAACAATGCCACTCAGTCCCTTCTTTCTCCAGAATCATACAGCTCACACCTTTGCACACCTCATCTGGAATAACCGAGTTTAACATAAATTAGATAAAAGACCTGTGTGGCAAAACTTTCTGCGGATATGAGAAACTTCGAAGAGTGAATTTTTCTTGCCTTCTGTTCAAAGTAAAGCCATCCTCATTGGTCAGCTGGAAGATCCCAATTACACTGAGAATGAGAACCCAATAAGGTCAAAGGGACAAAATTACAAAATCCTTCAACTTTCTGGCTGCCCAAATGTGGGAGGAAAACCAGATAATTTTTTTAAAATTTGAATCACCATGGAGGAAAGAAAATTACAGACTGACAGCAAATCACAAGCAACTTACTGGCTCTTCTAACCTTAATGTTCTTTGTTCAATTTGTATGAAGGGCACAGAATTCACTAATGAACTGAAACAGCAAGAGGTAACTGGTAGAAAAGGTTGTTGAAAGATCTGGCCTCTCTGCTTCTCCAGCTTAATTGTCTCTCAAATCCTCAGCTTTTTGACAATCAATTAATTGCCTCTCAGAGATGCAAAGGTTCGACTGCTTCTATTGAGATGAAGAACCTCTAAAAATATCGACTTTTAAGACTTTATTTCATCTCAGTAAAGACATGAATTCTTGAAGCCACTCTGCCTCTTGTTCTGAGTGAGTGACAAAGCTAGAATTCACAGATGATAGAATACCTAAAGTGTGGAAACAGGCCCTTTGGCCCAACAAGTCCACACCAGCCCTCAGAACATCCCACCCAGACCCATCCTCCTAATCCACACATCCCTAGACACTGCGGGCAATTTAACATGGCCAATCCACCTAACCGGCACACCTTTGGACTGTGGTAGGAAACCGGAGCACCCGGAGGAAACACACACAGACACAGGGAGAATGTGCAAACTGCACACTGACTGTCGCCCGAGGGTGGAACGGTACCCGGGTCCCTGGCGCTGTGAGGGAGCAGTGCTAACCACTGAGCTGCCAATTGTAGGGAACATTTCAATGTGAACTCCACATTCAGTGATAAAGCCTTGTAGTTCCGGTCAGTATTGACAACCTTGCAAACCTCACGGCGTACCAAGTGCTTTGTAGCCAATAAAGTGATCTTCAAACATATTCAATGTTATTCAGTAGGAAATACAGCAGCCAAACATGCTCCCACAAAATAGTTTTCTGATGTTGACCAAACAAATCAGTTTTTGTGTGTTAACTGAGGATTACATACTGGCCAGAACACCCAGGGAGAGGAAAGGAGGCCATTGATGTTTTACATTTGCCTAAAAGGGAACACGGGGGTGTCAGTTTAGCATTTCATCTGAAAGACAGCATTGCTAACAATTCAGCACCTCTGCAGTGGATTGTTAGCCCCAGGTGAGTGCTCAGGGCAGCAGTCAGGGGTGGGTGCCAGGCCAGTGGAGAATATTAACTCCTGGTCCTCAACAGCACAGTCTCCTGCAGGTCTGTGGCACAATGGACAGCGCGTTGAGTTTCTGATCAATGATTAAAAGCACCATTGCTGGTTCGAGCCCCATCAGAGTCTATTTAGAGGACTCTTGCGGTGCAGTGGTAGACGGCCTGCCTCTGAGCCAGGAGACCCAGGTTCAAGTCCCATCTGCTCCAAAGTTGTGTAATAACATCTTTGAACAGGTTGATTAGAAAACATCTACAATATCAAATTGAGTCAATCTGTGAGTATTCACCGCACAGGGTGCAGTCTGTGGCAGGAGATCTCCGCCAGTGGCAGAAACAAATGGGCTTTAGGGAGATGACAGTGAGGCATAGCTTTGTCATCAAAGAGGAGGCTTGACGAAGTGTAAATGTTCCCCGTGGGGCCGAGGGAAGCACTCCTATCTCTCCTAAAGCCACGTGGAAATTGAACAAAGTAAAAGGAATGTCCTTTCTGGATCTCAACTGGCCTGATATCATGAACTCACATGGAAGTATCTAAAGACTGGCTCCCAGTCTCTTATGAGCACTTGAATATCAGACCATACAAGATACTCATGGGCTGTCAACGGCTAAATTCTGAACAGCTGCAATAGGGCTACGGTTAACAGCTCACCTACTGGCACGGTGGCTCAGTGATTAGCACCGCTGCCTCACAGTGCTAGGGACCCGGGTTCAATTCCACCCTTGGATGACTGTGTCTGCATGGAGTTTGCATGTTCTCTCGGTGTCTGTGTGAGTTTCCTCCAGGTGCTCTGGTTTCCTCCCCACAGTCCAAACCTGCGCAGGTAGGGCGGATTGGCCATACTAAGTTGCCCCATAGTGTCCAGGGGATATGCAGGCTAGATGGATTGGCCAAGGTAAATGCAGGCTTATGGTGATAAGGTGGGGGAGTGGATCTGGGCAGGATGCTCTTCAGAGGATCAGTGTGGACCTGATGGGCCGAATGGCCTCTACCTGCACTGGAGGGATTCAATGATTCTATTAACTGCCTAGTTGACATAGTTAGGATAGCCTCCAGGGCTCTTGCGGTGCAGTGGTAGTGTCTGAGCCAGGAAATCTGGATTCAAATTCCATCTGATCTGTGACGTGTCTTAAATGATTGAAAATAACTTTTAAGATGTTTTTAAAACAACCTGCCCGGAGATGATAGAACACACCACTGGAGCAGGTGGGACTTGAACCTGGGTCTCCTGGCTCAGAGGGTGGAGTTAATGCCACTGCACAACAAGACATTGGCAGGGAGTTGCTGGCTGATGCAGGGCTCAGTGATCAACATCCTACATAGTTGAGAGGTAATCATTGGAGAGCCATCAGGTCATGCCCACAGCGACAGGCAATGACATCACAAAAACAGGAAGTCTCCCATCCAGGGTCTAGTCAACACATCCCTGATGGGTTCACCCTACCATGAAAATTCTCAAGTTATCGACCCTTTTGTCAATGAGAACACTTTCTCCCTAGTCTCTTAAAACTGGTTATAATTTTGAATTTTAACCTATTAAATTTCCCTACAGTTTGGAACAGAACAGACTTTTCTCATCTTACCACATAAATTAAAGCTGCCATCCCAGGTACCAGTTCAGTGTCCTTTCCGTCTCCCTAACATGCTTCTTAAAGCATCTAGAAATAGACACAAGGTACCAGCTGGAGTCCATCCAGTGATTTGGATACCGTTGGCTGATCTGGCTTGGAAGAACAGAAATAACAGTCGTCCTTAGCCAGCTATCAGAAGGGTTCTCTTACCGTGTACGGTGAGCCGTCCCTCAACCCGGTCTGTTGCTTTGGAGTTTTCTGCTTCACACACGTAAGTCCCTTCATCCTCAGGCTGGATGTTGGTGAGTCTTAGCACTGAGTTGTAGATGAGCAGCTCAGCACTGCTTGGCAAACTTCCCTCCTGTTTCCACCAGCGGATCTGAGGAATTGGGCTGAAGGGAAGGAGTGAGAGAGAGATACAAAAAGAGGGGGGCAAGGGGATGGACAGAGAGAGAGAGATGAAAGAAAGAAAAGATACAGAGAAACAGAGTGTGAGAGTGGAGGAGAGAGAGAGAGAAAAGGTGCGAGAAATTGAGTATGACAGTGAGAAAGAGAGAGAGATATGCAGAGGCAGGGTAAAGGGTGAGTGAGAGGAGAAGAAAGGGGAGACAGCCAGACAGAAAGACAGAGTGAGCAAGTAGTGGGAGGAGAGAGAGAGAGTGCAACAATTGAGGGAGTGAAAGGGAGAGAGAGAAAGGTGGGGAGAAGAAGTGAGAAAAGGGTGAGAGAGAAGGGAATTATGTATGAGAGAGCGAGGGTGGGGGGTAAAGAGGATGGAGAGAGACAGGAAGAAGGAAGAGTGTGAGAACGGGTCTGTACATAATGACAATGGAACAGAAGTCAAATCAAGAAAGACAAAGCCACTTGTGGGTTGAGTCAAAGCGAACCATTAGAGATCAGGTCTAACAATCACATATATGGTGTATTGCTCAATTTGGTTAAGACTACTTCAACCCAAGGGAAAGGCTCTTATCGCAGTCTATACTTCAGAGTTAGAAGAGTACAAAAACATATTCCTAAAATTCGCCTTGGTATAAATGGGAATGCTCCCAGAATGCTTGCTGCTGGGAAGATATGATTGAGCTGGGAAATGCAAAGCCCGGTTAATGAAGTCAATGGTGGTACAATTTATAAATTTGCACTCGGTCAGTTAACATCAGCCAGGGCTGTGTCTTAAGTCTCAACAGCCCAAAACGAGACGGCCTGTCATGAGAACAGAGTCGGCCAATGCTCCTATTCCTGATCATTACCCAGATTCCCCAGCTACAAATGACGTGGATATTTCACAGTGACCTGCAATAGCCTCCACAGATGAAGGGCTGGCCAACAGAGATTGGTTGAACAGACCGGATGGATGAGTACATTCCTTCCCTGATGAGACTTATGAGGTTCACACCCAAAGAATGACCTGTTGACCAATGGAGGAGGGAGCAACCTCCATTACTGAGTAATGAGTCGTTTTGTAGATAGAATGGGAAAAACACTGACGAACAATAAAGGAAGGTGGTTACATTAGCTCTTGGGGATGCTTCAATGTGCCTTGTACTCCCTTCAGTGCAGGACACGGAGGGATGATCTGGTCCAGGCTTATCAAACATTTATTGCATTATTCAACAGGGAAGATTCAAATAAGCTACTTCTTCCAATGAGGAAATCTGAACAAGGGCACAGAATCATCAAATTCAAGCCCCAAGCAAGAAGCAGTAAATAGGGAAACACCACCTGATTGATCACTGAAAGGCTGGGAGAAATACAGAATTCACTTCACAAAAGGTTGCGATTTTTGGGTCAACTAGAATTTTAAGATTGAAATAGCTTATTTGATAATGTAAGGATATTTCAGGATGTGGAATACAGCAGATAAATGTTGATGGGATACAATTTAGCTATGATCAAATTGAATAGCAGAACAGACTCAAGGGGCTCCCTCTGTTCCTTTCCAAATCCAATGCTTTGTGTAAGACCTGAAAGAGCAGGAAGAATAGCTCTTCGAGAGAGAGGACCACGACGCTCGAAACTTATTATCTTACTCCTCGTACTTACTTTCCAAGTGCAAAGCATTCGAGAGTGAGGTTCTGGCCCATCAGGACTTGGGTGTCGGTGAACCTGACTTTGATGTCGGCAGGATATCTTTTCACAACGCCTGGGATTTAAATCAAACAGGAGAAGAAACAATTACTAAAGCTGCTCGTGACCTGTTAGTCACAGGTGCTGCCTGAGTAAGATGAAGCACAGGAGAAGTGAAAGCAATGGGTGCGTTTTTCCCAGCCTGACTTCCACTCTCTGCTGGCATCACAAATCGAGCTAAGTAGCTGGCAGGCGACACTGGCACAATTCCGGTGACATCCTCTTGTCTGGGTTGGTCCCATCGATTGGCACAACACAACTGGCCCCAGTGTCGCCCGAGGAGTAAGAGCAGGGATTAATGCAAACGACTGGCAGGGTTCCCATTTCCGGTTGTTACTCCCACTGGAAGCTGCAGATCGGTCAGCTAACCAGGGCTGGAAAGGCTCGTCTTCAATCAGGACCACTGTCCGACCAGGCAAACCATTCCCATTCAAGTCAGCCTGCACAAATCTGCACTCTACATCTGGCCAGCTTTAGTGGCTGGTCAGGGCCTACAACTGGAAGCCACAAACGGTCTCACTGCCCGTTAACTAGGGAGAGCACTTTCTCTGGATGGTTGCTGGTAAGCCCCTGCCCTTGGAATCCATGATGCTTCCACACCGTCCGCTCTGGATCCGTATGTGAAGAGTTACCACTCGCCTCACAACCTGATGAGATGCCCCATACCACACCCCACCAGCCCCCCACCCCCACCCCGACCATCTCCTGTGTAAATCAGTGGCTTCAGCAATGGAGGTGGGCTGGGAGAAAAGCGGGATGACTGGGAAAATGAAGAACTTCCATTTTCTGTCAGTAAGATCCCAACGTCAATCTCCAGCTCGTCAAAGGCAAGAGCTGACAAACCTGTGCAGACAGGAGTGCATGTCCATAGTTAAGGAGAACAAAGAATGCCCAGCCAGAAGTTTGCATGACACAGGACATATGGCACAACCAAAAGAGTCCCTGTAGTCCCTGCCAGTGTTTCCTTTAATCTGTCCTTATTTAAATCTACCATGATTGGTGTCTATTCCCTTTTTCCTCAAAGACTTGGCCAGTTTCCCCTCACGTGCATCTGTGCTATTTGCTTCAAGCTCTACCTGAGGCAGCAAATTTCACATTCTCACTACTCTTTGTTTTATTTAAAGTCTACACTGGATTCCTTACACTGGCTATCTCACATTCAGACTGTTGACATTTGACATGCGTAAGTATCTTCTAAACACTTCCTGTAGTGTGATGGTAACATGCAAAATGCGACAGGATCTAAACAGAATGCTTTCCATCCTTGCTTCAAAACATCTTGCAATGCCCTTTTTAAATAAATCTTCTCCCATCCCCTCAAAAAGCAAAGGGATTCAGAGAGGAGGGGAAAAAAAAGCCGAGAATTCTCACCGACAGTCTGAGGGATGAGAGGAATGTATTTGCTGAAAACACTTTTGGAAATGGACGGGCTGGTGACAATGCAGGAAAAGTTGCCCATGTCACTCTCTTCCACTTTTGCAATGTACAGATTCCCAGTGGTCTGAGAGACAAAACGGCGTTTGTCAGACATGATGAATCTGGGGAATTCATTCAGTAGCCACCGATAGGTGAGGTCATCTGTAGGGAAAGAAAACATTCCATTAACACAGGGC